CTTCGGCGCCCGCCTCCGCCCCCGGCGCGCGCCCCGCCGCCACGCCCCCGGCCGCCGCTGATGCAGACCCCAAGACGTACCAGTGCATCAAGTGTCAGGTGAGCACTACGCGGGAGGCGTGCAAGGAACACTTGTTGCAGTCCGGTGGGGGAGGTGTCAACGACGGACCTTACGGTATAAACCTAAGCTGCCGCACGTCTAGTCTATATCTTCTTCGTTGTCCGGGTGACGCCGCGTCGCGGCGTTTCGCCTGTCGTGTGGCCGGCTTTCTCAGGACAAGGCACTGCGGTGTCCTTGCCTTGAGGTGTCCTTTTGATGTTCTTGCCCGGAGGAAGCCTGCTACATGCCTCTCAGCCTGCGACGCGGCGTCACCCAGACGGCGAAGGAGGTGTGGACCCCACAGTAGATATCTTCCTCCACCTTTGTTTCATCGTTTAAGACCGTTATTATTACAACATTTTCTAACCCTAAATGGATGTCGTGCATTGCTTATCGGATGTTTAGTAAACAATTCGAAACCAGCGTGAAGCGTATTCACTTTGTGGAAACTGGCGTTTTCTTTCAGGATGATCTGCCCATAAATACTATATAATTTTACATGACTGGCATTATCTGTTAATGTATAGAACCGTTACGAATCCAGATTATTATAGTCTTTGCGAAACGAGCAAAAAATGTTCAAAATATGTCCGCCCTTATTATTGGTGGAAAAATTGCAAATATTTTAACACAAATTTACAGAAAATTATTGTAATATATTGCTTAATACTGAAGCATTGTTTCTTAGTTTAATCAAATTGCCCTTCAATTATATTGCAATTTATTTCGGGGGCCACCGTTGACACCCGCGCTCTCCCATTGGCGTTCTCCGGGTACTGTTGATGGAAACGATTTGGGGCGTAGAGTAAGACGAGAAGTATAGAGAGAACATTCTAGGAAGGGACTGATTTGACAGCTACCGGTTGGCTACTGCTGGCAACAAAACTGCAGATGATGCCCACGCGCTCATTTCGTCTGTTTGTTTGACAGCAGTTGGCTTTCTTGCAAGTGACTTCGACGCAACCTCTTATAACGTCATTGTTATTTGCGTGATCTGGGCTGTCCGGGTGACGCCGCGATGAGGTCTGTGTTGCCGCCGTTTCGACCATCTTTTCCTGGTCTTCCTCAGGGCTGGTATGAGGAAGACCACGTCAAGATGGTCGAAACGTGGTCTTCCTCATACCAGCCCTGAGGAAGACCACGAAAAGATGGTCGAAACATCGGCAACAGAGCCTTCGACGCGGCGTCACCCGGACAGCCCAGATCACGCACAGGACTCTGGCCGCGGAAGCCTACGACTTCATCGTCATTGTTATTTGTTTTCCGACCCGTCAAACTGCTCCCCCTTTACAGTACTTTCTCTGTACTAAGAGCGGGCGCGTGTTGCGCAGGTGAGCTTCGACTCGGAGCCCGAGATCCAGCGGCACGTGGCGTCGCACGTGCTGGCGGAGGGCGCGTCGCTGGAGTGCCGGCTGTGCCGGCGCGTGCTGGCGTCGCCGCTCAAGCTGCAGGCGCACCTCATCGAGCACACGTTCGCCGGGTGCGGCGCCTTCACGTGCTACCTGTGCTCGGCCGTGTTCACGGCGGCGGCCGGACTGCAGTCGCACATGCTGCAGCACGGGCTGCACGCGCGGCCCTACGACTGCTCGCGCTGCGCGCTGCGCTTCTTCTTCCGCGCCGAGCTGGAGCACCACAGCTACTCGCACCTGGAGCGCGACGCGCAGCAGGCCGCAGCCGCGGCCGCCGCCGCCGCCGACCTCGCCGGCAAGGTGCGCATGCGCTCGCGCTCTCCTCTGCACGCCTCTGCAACTTCGATTTTTCCGTACAGGCCGATTGGTTGGTTGATTGGTTGGTTGATTGGTTGGTTGATTGGTTGGTTGATTGGTTGGTTGATTGGTTGATTGATTGGTTGGTTGATTGGTTGGTTGGTTGATTGGTTGGTTGAATGATTGGTTGGTTGAATGATTGGTTGGTTGAATGATTGGTTGGTTGAATGATTGGTTGGTTGGTTGGCTGTTAGTGATTCGGAGCGCGTCAACTACTGAGGTCATTAGTCCCGGATGCGTAGAACATGATTTGAACTCGGAAAGGGGTGGTGATCGGATGGCGGCGCTGGATGGCGAGATCCGGCGCCGGCCTACGTCGGCTAGCGGGGTTTCCCTCAACCAGGTATCTCCCAACAGCTGAGCACCGCCGTCAAAGCCGGGTCAAGATTTAAGCTCCCAACTGGTCACTTGACATGTGTGGTAGTGTAGTTCATGTCAGTGTAAGTGTACGTAAGGGGGGCGAGGGTAGGACAAGGAAGAGAAAAGAAAGATCGCCCGTGATCCCTGGCCCGTTTGTTAGGGTACTGCTCAGACATTTACGTGGTGTTGATCGGAAAAAACACGGAAAACGACCCATCAGCGCAGTCGACCTCTAGAAATCGACTGAATTCGACCTAGTTGACAAGCTAGTGTCGAAAATCTGGCCACTTGGGAACTCGAACTTAGTGATCCCGATCAGAGGCACTGCAATGAGATCAGTTGATGCACTGAGCCGTCTCTCCAGGAATGTTGACCGATGACATTAGGTCATTCTTACGCCTTCTTACTTATAAAATGAAACTTTATAATTCGTGAAGGTCCTTCTCAACGGGGCTCGTGACCTCAGAACCGTGCTTACCACTGTAAAAAAGATTCATTTTATAAGGCAGGAAGTTTAACAAGAAGTTAATGTCATCGACCACTATTTAAAAATGGAAGCATAAGGCGACTCCACGAATTCAGCATTCGCCGAGCAGTGAGCTACCTCGCAATCTCCCAAGAAGTGTGAGAGGCTGAGCTCAACTCAGAGCTCGGCAACTCCGCAGCGACTCTGCCTGGGAAGTTTTAGGGTTCGAATTTTGACGGTGGCGGATTTTCGAAGTGACACAAGCATCTGCGTCGAATTCAAACGGTTCCGAGAACAATTCTAGCCTTGATCGATAGTTTTCAGTGGTTTCTCCGATGCAGACCAAGCGGAGGACTACCTTATTAAACGGGCCACGAATGCGATCTTCCTTCCACTGCGTGCGATCTTCCTTCTTCTTTTTCGTCCTATTCTCTTTTCTTACACTCACATACACGGTCTCTACTAACATACGTGTCGGGCGCTTAGCGATTGACCTGACTGAGGGGTACCGCTTATGGGAAATACCCAGGCCTCGGCATAATACTGACAATATAAGTGCTCCGTTCTCTAATTATGCGTGAACTCGCATTCTGTGACGATCATTTTAACTTCTAACCTTTCTTGTGTCGAAGGGTGCCCTTTTAGAGAAATCCTTTGAGCAAAGAAACTAGAGGGGGAAACACCTCTCCGGCCGACGAGTAGATCGGCGCTGGAACTCACCATCTTGGGGAGAAGGAATCACCGCCATCTCACGGGATAAAACATTCACCACACTAACGAAACTAATTACCTTCGCAGCTGACGTACCTTGTGCCCCACCCCCTCCTCCGTTATTATTTTCGGCTTTTCCCTCATCATGATGGAAAATTTGAAAACGTATTGCCACACAATACTCTGCAAATTTCATTTCGGAAATTGTTCATACTTGCCCCTGCTACTGACAACGACAACTTGCCCCTGCTACGACAACTGCTTTGGTGGCACGTGGGAGGAGGAGGTGGAGCTTACGTTTCTCTTTCATACACGCGAAAAAAACGTTTTTTGAAGTCTCTGGACGCTGCCTTCGCCCATGTTCACGTTCATTCACAATGAAGACCATTAGCTTCAAACTCGCCCAATGCTAACTGACCTGTTGATCGAACACGCGCATATGTTGCCTTTCGGGCCTCGGCATAATGCTGTGACAATATAAGTGCTCCGTTCCCTAATTATGTGTGAACTCGCATTCTGTGATCATCATTTTAACCTATAACCTTTCTTGAGTCGAAGGATGCCCTTTTAAAGAAATCCTCTGAAGCGAAAAGCCAGGAACTCGCAGTAAAGAAACTAGACGTCTTCTGACCCAGACAAATGATGTTACTGATTAAGAATTTCCCGTGATCTCATGTTTACTTTCTTGCAGCCTTTGCAGTTCTTATTTTCTACCATCCTAAACTCTTATTTCTCTTCGTATTAGTTTTCCTCCTCCTGTGTTTTTGGCTAACTCTCACTCCTACTTTATCTCGATCTACCCAAATCCTCTGTTTCCTCTTCGTTCGTCTCCATTCCCCTCTCCATTTCTCTCTCTCGCTCACTCTCTCTCTCTCTCGCACTCTCTCTCGCTCTCTCTCTCTCGCTCTCTCTCTCTCGGCTCGCTCCTCGTCTCTCTCGCTCTCTATCTCTCACTTCTCTTCGCTCTCTCCCTCGCTCTCGCTCTCGCTCTCTCTCTCTCGCTCTTCTGCTCTCTCTCTCGCTCTCCGCTCTCGCTCACCCTCGTCTCTTCTGCGCGCTCTCTCGGCGCTCTCTTCTGTCGCGCTCTCTCTCTCGCGCTCTCTCTCTCGCGCTCTCTATCTCGCGCTCACAACTCTCTCTCGCGCCTCGTCCTGCTCTCGCGCTCTCTCTCATCGCGCTCTCTCCCTCACGCGCTCTCTCTCTCGCGCTAATCTCTCTCGCGCTCTCTCTCTCGCGCTCTCTCATCTCGCTCTCTCTCTCCCTCGCGCTCTCTCTCGCCGCTCTCCTCTCGCGCTCTCTCTCTCTCTCGCGCTCTCTCTCTCTCTCTCTCGCGCTCTCTCTCTCTCTCGCGCTTCTCTCTCTCGCGTCTCCCTCTCTCTCGCGCTCTCTCTCATCTCGCGCTCTCTCTCTCTCTCGGCGGCTCTCTCTCGCGCGCTTCTCTCTCTCAGCGCTCTCTCTTCTCGCGCTCTCGATCTCTCTCGGCTCTCTCTCTCGCGCGCTCTCTTCTCTCTCGCGCTCTCTCTCTCTCTCTCTTCGCGCTCTCTCTCTCTCTCGCGCTCTTCTCTCCGCATCGCGGCTCTCTGCTCGCTCGCGCTCGCTCTCGCGCTCTTTCTCTTCGCGCTCTCTCGTTTCTCGCGCTCTCTCTCTCGCGCTCTCTCTCTCGCGTCTCTCTCTCGCGCTCCTGTCTCTCGCGCTCTCTCTCTCGCGCCGCTCTCTCTCGCGCGCTCTCCTCTCTCGCGCGCTCCTCTCCTCGCGCGCTCTCTCTCTCGCGCTCTCTCTCTCGTCGCTCTCTCTCTCGCGCTTCTTTCTCTCTCCGCTCTCTCTCTCCGCTCTCTCTCGATCTCTGCGTCTCATCTCTTCTCGTCGCTCTCTCTCTCGCCCTCTCTCTCTGGCCATCTCTCTCTACGCCTCTCTCTCTCGCTTCTCGCTCTCTCCCTCCGCCGCTCTCTCGTCTCGCGCTCTCTACTCTCCTTCCGCTCCTCTCTCTGCCGCCTCGCTCCTCTTCTCTCTCGCTCCATCTCTCTCTCCGCTCTCCTCTGCTCTCTGCGCTCTCTCTCTCCTCTGCGCGCTCTCTCGTTCTCTCATGCGGCTCTCTCTCTCTCTCTCCGCGCTCTCTCTTCCTTCTCTCCTCGCGCTCCTCTCTCTCGCGCTCTCCTTCTCGCGCCTCTCTCTCTCGCGCGCTCTCTCTCTCGCGCGCTCTCTCTCTCAGCGCGCTCTCATCTCGCGCGCTCTCTCTCGCGCGCTCTGCTCTCTCGCTCCTCTCTCTCTCGCGCTCTTCTCTCGCGCCTCTCTCTCTCTCGCGCTCTCTCTCGTCGCGCTCTCTCTCTCAGCGCGCGCTCTCTCTCTCGCGCTCTCTCTCTCGGCGTCTCTCTCGTCGCGCGCTGTCTCTTCTCGCGGCGCCTCTCTCTCTCGCTCTCTCTCCTCTCGCGCGCTCTCTCTCTCGCGCGCTCTCTCCTCGCGCGCTCTCTTCGCGCCTCTGCCGCTCTCCACCTCCCTCCCCTCCTATCTATCTCTACCTCTCATCGCCTTAACGAGAGTTCAGTCCTCCATCCCATTCTACCCGCCCCCCATTCCGTCCAGTGCTGCATGCTTTTGTTCCTTTCGGCGTTTCAACAGCTCGTCTCCTCCGTTGCCATCCCCATCACGTGTCGTAACCCCAAATGTGCTGCAGCTGAGGAGCGGCCGTAACTCTCCCCTCCCTCCTTAACGCGCAGATTCGCTCTAACCCAATGCCGCACGAGTGACTTTGTCATTTCAATCCCTAATTGTTTTAGTGGTATTTGACCAGATTTATTACTATATTTCATATGTAATTTAGTTACTTGAATGCTTCTAGTTTCCTAATATCCAGGCAATGAAGCTGCTAATACGATGCGCTACTGATACTGTTAATAATGAATATGATAATATTCTCTTTCACATCACGTTACTAACAAATGGTTCCAAATAAATTCCAAATGCTAGTAAATGTTATAAATTATAATATTCTTTTGCAAGTGTTAAGAAATCGTAACCAGCATTTCCAAATGTTCGCCCTTCTGGATTTTAACGAAATCAAACTAGAAGGAAATTTATTGCCTTGGAGAAAATGTTGCCAAATAACCTTCTTGTGTTGGAATATTAGTTCAAATTGTGGCGAACTGATTTTCCTTCGTAATACAGATTTCGTAAATGACGGTGTTAACTTATCGTTGCGGTCATTTGATTTTTCGCCTTAAGCTGGCAATTCCGTAGTTTCCACGAAACATTGGCTGCCCGTGTTTGAAATCTTCTTTTATCCATGCAGTCATTTTCAGAAAGTGCATACTTCTAGCTTACATCGAAGTTTTTTAGTTTATTACCCGCTTAACTGTTCTAATAGTGAAAGCTGTGGTCATTTTAGTCATAAATGAAAATTAAATCACAGCGAGTAACCCTCCTATTCTTAGCGTTATAATTAAGAAAGTATTAAGGCTCAATCATTCGCGAAAGGTCTTGGATTATAGTTCATGCATCTTTTAAATTTCTCTTATAGCACTTTTTCAATCATTCACTACTGACTTTGGAAAATTAAAAATATTTTCAAACGAATTCATTTTCAGTTTTTGATCGTCTAGGAACATTCGTTTTTTGCTTAATGGAGACCGTGCCGTAAATAATAAGTAATAAGCATAGATCCCTCTCTGGTATGTTATTTGCAACTCATCTTTCCTCTACTATAGCAGTCACTGACTGTGACTGTAAACGTGAAAATTTTAAGTATTTATATGCACAGTTCTTTCTTATTTCCTATTATTTAAGAATATTACGTCCGGGTTATATGGCAAATTTAGTAAGAAAATGTATGTATTTTTTTTAAAAAATTTAATTTCTTAATCATTTAATTAAATATATAATACTAATTAAATATAAAAAATATAAAATTAAATTAAATATTTAGTTTCTTGTCACCTATTTCGGCGAGATCCAGTGTGTTGATTGTGTGGTTATGTTTGAATGATATAAAGTTGGTTTACGATTCTTCTCGCACCTCAAGGTGGGCATACTACGCAGCAACAGCAGCAGCAGCAAACAGCAGCAGGAACCAAAAAAAAAAAAAAAAAAAAACCAACAGCAACACTCGACGAACGGGCGGTACGACTCTGGACGGGCTGGTACTTGAAGACGGAGGAGCCCCGTCGCCGCCGGGCGGCCCAGGGGAAGGCGCGGGGCGGGCCGGGCGGGAAGACTCGCGGGCGGGGCGGCTGAGCTGCACGGAGTGCGGGAAGCTGTGCGCTCACCCGCGGGCGCTGCCGCCCACGCAGCAAGCGCCACACGCGCCCGGGCCCTGCCCGCCGCCCCCGCCCCCGGCGCGCGCGCGTCAAGGAGGAGCCCGCGTCTTCGGACGAGGCGGGCGACGCCGAAAGGGGGCGACCGCCGACCAGCCGCCCCGCCCCCGCCGGCCCCGCCCTCCCGACGCAGCCAGATGGAGCGCCCGACGCAGACGCGGAGCGCCCCCGGCCTCGGCCCCGCCCCCGCGCCGCCCTCCGACTCGTCGGCCTCGGGCGCCTCCTCGGCCGCGTCCTCGCCGCCCCCGTAAGGGGCCGGCGCACCTTTCATTTGTTTGGAAAACGTTTATTATCTATTATTATAATTATTATTATATTTGCTTGTTCTTGCCGAGTTTGTTGCAGTTTATTGTTTTTGTTTGTAACAGTTATAAATGTAATTAATTATCTTTTTACTTATATCGTTATGTATCAGCTATTGTGGGAATTTTTTGGATATGATAAAAAAAGATTTCTATAAGCGTTTACCTCAAGGCTGAGAGTCCAAGTTAGTGCTTTAGCAAGGCGATAATTGTTTCTTTGAATTGTACACAATGCAATAAAACTTGAAAGATGTTGTCCAAAGAAGTGTTTGTTTCGTGTGTGACGCAGTGGGGGGGGCGGGACCGGCGCGCAAAGCCGGCTACGCCGCCTGTCGATGTACCCACCTTAAGCCGATCTTACGGCGGCAATAATACGGCCTTAGCTTAGCTAGATTTAGCCGTGCGGGCGCGCAACGAGTCTTCAGGGGGCTTCATCGCAGCCGCACCCGCCGCCTCGCCCGCGCCCCGCCAGCCCCCTCTCGCCCCCGTCCCAGCTCCCACCCCCCACACGACCCGACAGGTTAAAGAAGATGACGAGGTAGAAGGCAGGCGTGATGATATGCCTGGGCAAAGGACGCATTTCATGCTTGCCCTGTCTACTCCTGCGTGGCGGATGCCTTGTGAAAGGTATCCCTTCCAGATGGGATTTGCAACGATGAAAGATATGGCCAACCGATAAAAAAAGAGAGATTGGATTGATGAAAAGTTAAGACATTTAGCTCCTTATCTACAACATATCTACAGCGTATTTAAAACTTTCGGCACAAGCAGTTTTAAAATTCTTTTAGCTGGGTTCTGAAAATGTGCCCCAGTCTCGACATGGGTTGTGTTCTGAGTAGGGGTAATTTGGCACAAGAGCTTCAACGTTACTAATGGCTCTGGCTCACTTATTAGCTGCGATCAACCAACATAACAATAGTGTGTCATTTATCCCCTATTGCATCATTCTGTTCTAACGACTACGAGCTCTGTTTAGCATGTGAATGGTAGGAGTCAGTATAATTTTGCAGGGCTTTTAGTCAGTGTTCTTTTGACGCAAGCATAACATGGCACCCTGAGGATTTGTCGCTATGAAATCTCATCGCCTCCATTCGTTTTGAGCCAGAGATCTCCGTTTCTTGAAGCTTAGGGGGCTGGCTGTTGCACTGAATACAAAAATATTTAACATCTCTTCTCAGCTTCTTTGCAAATGGATTTGACATACTTCTGTAACGCTCTAGCTCTCCAAAGGTACTTTACAAAAAACTAAACTTTAACTTTTGGTAAGAAAGATCATGAGTATTGCCCATGAGTTTTACACAAGATTTTACAGTGGTTGCGCACATTTTCAACTACCTTACAGAAGGAGTGCGTGGCAATGCACTTCCGTAAAAGAAATCTAACAGCGAATTTTGCCCATTTTGGAAGAAGGCAATCACACAAGGCCAGAATGCCAGATTTATTTTGCGTTAGTCGCCTCTACCAACCCCGCCAGCGAAGGTTCGTGGCTGAAATTGAATAAAAGAACATTCAGTATCTCTCAGATCCTTTGGGGACGGCCTTGACGTGATTCTGTAATACGTGAACTATTTGCTGCAGTTCCCCGAAGTTATTTTACAAGTAAGTAAACGTTTTGGTAGGAATTATCACATTCCGAGAGTATTGTCAGTGAGTTTTGCACAAGATTTTACAGTGTATGCGCACATTTTCAACTAATGTATAGAAGAAATGCATAAAATGCACTTCAGTGAAAAAATTGTCTCTGTAAGTTTGCAATCCAAGCCGAGGAAATCCTAAAATCTTCCTCACACGCCGATTACCTGCCCTTGGTCAGTTGAGTACACACTGCACGGGCTTTCGACGCCTCTTCCGCTCCCGCAAGTGAAGATTTGTTGTTGAAATTGAATACAAGAATATTTAAAATCTCTCAGATTATTTAGGAACGGACTTGACATTCTTCTGAAATGCGTGAATTATCAACTACCGTACAGAAGAAATTTGTAACAATGAAGTTCAGCGAGAGATCTCAGCTGTCCGGGTGACGCCGTGTGGAGGGCATACATGCCGAAGTATCGACCTTCCTATCGTGGTCTTCAGGGCTGAAGTGCCACGATAGAATGGTTGAAGCGTCGGCTTCAATGCCCTCGTCTCGCCGTCACCATTCACACGTCTGGCTGCGGACAAATACGATTGCAATTAGGTTCAGTGAAAGACATTTGGCCATCTGCGCATTTGAAATCCAAAACGAAGAAACCTTAAAATCCCTCCGTACCCTCACACGCCCTATTGCTTGCCCTTGGTCGGTTTGAGCACGCACTGCGCGGGCGTTCGTCGCCTCTGCCGCCCGCGAGCGAAAAACGCGCCGCTCAATTTGTCGGGCGCCGAGCGCGCGCAAACGAGGGCCCCAGGGCCACGCGTTCGCCCGCGCGCGCCGACGCGCCGCGGCGCCAGTGCGCGTGAACCGCAGCGGCGCGAACGCCCTTCGCCTCTCCGCTCGACTTTTTGCGATAATTTATTGTCGTTTGTTTCCGGAGTGTTTTATACATTTTTTATATGCAGAGGAGCAAAAGGAATGGCTGTCAGGCGGCAGGATTGGGTTTTCGCGGGCGCCGAGGATATAAGGGCGCGAGATAGAGCGATCCTCCCCGTGGAGCTCTCTCCCCTCCCTCCCTCCCACCGCCCTTCGACTCGCCCTCCGCCAGATTTATCTGCCTCCTCCCACGCGTGGCTCTCCCACGCGGGCGTCTGCGAAACCTTCTTCGGAGTCTTTGGGGCAGCCGATACCGTAACCCGACTGTTCTGAGCTCAGAAGTCTCACACGGGATGTTTGTAAATGAGTTTTAATTATTCTGCAAAAAATTGTCACGTTCATTTCCTAGAGAGAAGTTTTAATATATTTAATGGAATGAAATGTAAGATGACAGTATAGTATAGCAAGCGTTTTAAGATAAAATAACTTTAAGATAAAATCAAGATTTATTGAAATCGTTTTAATAGAATGCTTAATAAACAGGAATTCCTTCATAAAAGTTGCGAACTAATAGCACAAAGTATCACTGTATTTTTATTCACTGATTTCCCCCCGTAATTAAGAGGTTGTTGGACTTTTTTTCTGAAGTTCTATTTGCGACGTCATGAAATTACATTTGAAAAGCCCTCCTCATGGCTAATCGATATGCGTTGAGATCACTTTATTCCATGGATTCTATAACGTTGGCTGCACTGCTTTTACAGTATGGCGACTTCCTTATACCTCGTTAATGGAACGTGGACGTGTTGGGACTTGTTTGTGAGGAACGTGATTCATGTAAATAGTGGGATTTATTATTGTTGACAATGGGCAAAACGAGGCACTTTAGACGCAAGCACAAGGATACGGGCCCTACAGGCCTTCCGAGTGTGAAGGATATCGAAAAAGAAGAGCAAATTGAGGGAAACGATTCGGATTCGGCAAGTGCATCCGACGTTGCACTTCAAAACATTGTAGATCAAGTAAGTACATTTTATTTGACATATTTATCAATTTATTCAAGATTATATTTCGCTTTACTAACGTCTTGCGTTAGAAAGATGATTAAAACCCGTCGTAAACTAGTGATATCCCAGCAATTCTAACCTAGAAAGAGAGGTTAAAACATTTTGCTAAAGTTGTCTTATTCTAAAGTTGCAGGGACCAGTTGAAGATAAGGTTTTTGCTCTTCACTCATTGGCAAGCATATTTTACACTGCAGGAAGTGTACAAGATGTAGTTCGACAGAAAGTTGCTCGAATTGCTGGCCCTTTGTTATTGGATCCAAGCTCGGCTGTGAGAAATGCTGCTGCTGGTGCTCTTCGGTAAGATATAGAATAAGATATGTGTGGTTACTTTGTTTGAAAGATATTATTGATTGTTTGTGTAGCATTTAAACAAAAGTGGTCAGTGGTTGCTAAATTTTTTTTTCCTTTTGTTAATGGTCCAATCTGTAACAGTACAAATGTAAATTAATGTGATAAAATGTTAAGATGTTAGAATATAATATCAATGTGTTTTACTACATGTCCAGTTTACTAATAACATTAATTACAAGAAAATCATTTGGGAAGTATACATTATATACCTTTCATACAAAATATATATTCATATTCTTTTTTGATCAGTATAGTTAATAATGTAGAAAGTTTTTCTTGAAAATGATCTTAGCAACAAGTTTCATTAATTAATTATAATTATTTTGAGGAGAGTAAACAAGAGATAGTTTGGGTTTTCAATGCAAGAATACCTTTTAAGTTGTGAATTGGTTGTGAATTCTATCGTTTTAATCATAATTGATTGCTCTTGAATGTGAGTAAAATTGTTAAAGAATGAAATTAATTTTTTGTTTTCAATGTATACTTATAATAGTGAAGTAATTCAAGTTTTATTTGAATATGGCAAAAAGAAACTACTAATGACAATGTATGTAAACTCATTTAATATATCCTTGTCTACTGTCATTAAACCGTTTATACCGATTTTTCATTTTTTTCTTGGAAACTTGAATAAGTTTTATAGAATTTAAGAAAATAATTTGTGAAATATTACTCTGTATGAAATGTTATATTTATTAATTACTTTCATCCGTGATGTGTTTTTTCCTCCTGTACTGTAGATGAAATTGAAATTTTAGATAACGTTTTTAAAAATCTAGAATTGGTGTTGTTAATAGACAAAATAAATTAATATTAAAATCTCTTGTGGTATATATAAGTCTATCCCTGTTTCTTGCTTGTGGTCTTGATTTGTTGTATTTGTTAGCTCTGAAAGCTTTCTTCTGTTACAAAATACATTGCCTAAACCTTGCCAACTATCTTATTTCTATGGTACTAAGGCAGTATGTCAAGAACTTTGATTTTTCATTTGTAAATGGTAAACAGTATGATTGAAAAACCTGATATGGTTATACCAGATAAGCTCCTGCAAAATGTAGTTGGTTAAATTTGAAATTGGTTAAATTGGAATATTCCAATGTGTTCCTTACATCACAATAAGTTGTTACAGTGTCAAATTGGTTACATTGCAATATGTTAGACATTGAGCCTTCCTTGTAAATTCCAATACGTCCGTAAAATTGAAAAAGCAAGTGGAGCAATAAGTCAAGTAAAAAAGCCAAATGCTGGTTCTGGTAAATGACTTGCCAAGGGTATCAGTAAATCTGAGGAAGGCAAATGAAGATTTGTTAAAGTTATTTGAATATTGTATGATATTGGGTGAAATTTTGGTCATGCTAGACCAGAAGAGGTGTTTGTTTTCAAATACTTTAATAAACTTGCCACATTATTGTTAATTGTATCTTTAATTTTGGTGAGCCTTGAAACTGGTAAGCAACTTCTAATGTTGTGTTTTGACATAAACATATCATAACTGGTGTAATACTACAGATTTAATCTGGTCTGTTCATTAAATATTGCATTAATTTTCATTTAAGTGGAGCAAGAGGGGTAGATCATGTGAGAAAATTTTAGTATATTTAAGACTCATTGTGCAAATGTGAATAGTAATTTGTTAATAGGAGTACTTCATTTTGATCTCATTGATATTGATGAAGTTTATAGAGAATAATATTCAATCAAAGAGCCATTTGTTGATTATGTGTACAGTTATTATAAAAAATGTGGTAGTTCCTCATTATTTATGCTCTATAGTGTGCTCTATTATCGGCTGTCAATGAAAACAAAGATTAATAAAAATTTTGTTTAAATTATTTTGATTTCTTATCTTTATTTCTAGTTATTTCTCAGAACAAGAATAAATTTTATGAGATGTTAGAGCAATAATTATGGCTATCCAGTCACAACAAAGACTGTTCTCTTGTCAAAAATTACTTCTGTTAATAATATTGTAATAATTTTGTGTGTTAAAGGAATCTCACCTCATCTGGAAATCATGAAATATGTGATTTGCTTATTGAACAAGATATCATGACACCTGTGTCAGCGTTCTTTCTGAAGGTAAGGAGATTTTCCATATTAACCATTTGGCTTTATCATTTTTTTAAAATTAGGGCTTTTAGGAGTTTTGATCTTGATTTTATTTTAGGTATAAAGAGAGGTATGCAGGCAGCAAAGGAAGTTCCTTGTCTAGTTTTTTGTGTTTCTTGTTACTGATGCTTTTTTTCTACAAAAAAAATTGTGTGTGTATTGTTTTTGAGGTATTTATTTTTCACTCTAGTGCGCAATGGAGTGTTATTGATCAACTGTTTTAAATTATTCTTTGAGTTCTGTTATTTTCATGTTGTGTAATATGCAAATTATTCATCGGTTACTTATTTTTTAAACAAGAAAATGACTAAGTTAATAAAAAATGTAGTGTTGAAAACTTGGTAGGCCTTGGTCCTGTGAGGAGCTGTTGTGCCAGTACAGACAGTTGCTGAAAATTCTTCATCTTCATTTATTTTATTTGCAAAGTTATTTGAGGAAGATGAAATGGGGGGGGTTGATTACGGTTTTTACCTTTTTGATTGAAAATGCAATCATTTGTTCACCTTACAAATTGAATTTGAAGGTATTTGATCAACAATCTGTTGAAGATGCAACACATTTTGTTGCTTCTATCTCGTGACATTGACGGTCTTTCAGTGACTCCATTGCCAGATGTAGTCAACTTTCACTTGCAGAACTAAAATTTAGAACTCTTCCATTTCCCCCAAATAAAACGCAAGTAGTAAATGGCACTAAGACCATTTTACACAATAATGCACAATTATGCACAAACTTATAACATCATAATGCCAATTTTTTTAACTTTCCTGCTTGTGTGTCTTGTTTTTAGTGATCCTGGCAATCACTCCATTCCTAGCAATAGCATTGAATGATTCCAAGGTTCTTTAGTATTTCAATATCTCCAAAAATAAATAATAATAAATCTAGCTTTACAGTTAAATAAAATGCCCTGTTCAACATTTCTTAAATTCTTGTAACAGTTGATATTGCCTATCTGCCTTCTTAAAAAGCATCACAAATGTTCGACAATACATAAAACATTATTACTTACATTAATTATATTTGGCTAGTAGGAAGGAAAACAAAAAAATTAAGTATGTTGTGCTGTATTTGAATTGCTTGGAAAGTAAATCAGTATATAAGATTAAGACCAAGTAATTTTATATGAAGGAATTGCCTACCCATTGCAAAAGGAATTAGAATTTGAAAGTGCTTAATTTACTACGTCAAGAAATGGTGTTTTCTCATTTCAGCATTCATAAATGCCAATTACTATGCATTACTATAATAAACAGATGCAGTAAATTCTCATATTTGTAGAATCAAGTGTGAATTATTTTGCTCTTTCAACAAAAAGGAATACAATGCAAAGGATGATTCTTACAAATTTTTCACAAACTCAATATATAATAAATTATTTGTAGGGTTTATCATTGTCCTTTACATCCAGTTGTGAGACAGTTAATTTGTATTAGGGAATTTTTACAAATGCTAGGTGAAGTGTACCCAAACATATTGATTTTGAATGCAAATTTTGTATTCCAATGATTTTGTGAGGATTAATTAACGGTATGTCTTCTGTTGTAAACATTATTGCTATTAATACCGTCGTCATTATCATCTGCCATATTCAATCTGTTTCGGATGTCTGCCCTTTCTGAAGTCCTAAGCCAATTGTAAGGGACCCCCATCACGATCAAGTATTTGTCCAGTTTCCCTGTTCATTGAGGAAATACTAAGATGGCCTCTTGTTTTGCTTCTGCGCGTGAATGTAGCTTCACTGTGCGCTCGTTTTGCTGAATTCTCCTTTTGCTTGTAATGGTAAGAGTAGAGGTAAGGGCGAGTTATTGTTTTGTTAGTAATGCAGAAAATAAAATCTCCAGGTCGTTTACCGTTGCAAATAAGTTTTCTATAACTCGGGAACGAAACGTCTAGTTTTTCAAATGACGCTAATCTTGTGCTTTATTAAAAATGTATTTATCTTTAACTTTTACTCATCTTTCAACTATTTATAGTTTAAATGATGGGAAGGAATTTTGAAACTCAAGAAAACGCGCGCAGATGATCTCCTCCATACGTCACGTAGTTTTTACTGTTTTTTGACTAAATAAATAAATAAAAAGAAGGGAAGTTCGCACGCGGCGCGTGGCCCGTTGTACAGACTGTTGCTCAGGCATTGTGATGTCGAAAACCACCGATTGGAGCAGGCGACCTGCGGATTCGCTCCCGGCAGGGCCCACACGTGCCCTGATATTACACGCGTCCGTCTGCCGAGTAGTGATGCGACATCGATGTTCAAAATTAATCGACTAAAAACTATCGATGATTTTCAACGTCGATGTTTTTAGACTGGATTAGTAATCTCCAACATAAAATTCGTCGTCCATTAAAATTGAGTTTGACAGTGTTCGTGCGTTTGACAGTGACAATGCGCTGAATAAGGCTACGAGAAGTAGGGGGAGACCATACGCTCACGGCCTATTTGTTGACCATAACTCAATGTGCGAAATGAATATGAAGAAAGAGCAAATACAGTAGCACGAAGGTCATCTCGGGGGAGAGAGTTCGATTGATGAAGGTACTGAAAACAGCGTTCCTTTAGTTCCAACACATCAATAACAGTGTTAGTATCACTTATTATTCATATTTTAACTTTTACGGTATTGTGATCATTTTTCATCCAGAAACAAAACATCGGAAAGAAAAAAAACATCAATATACAGAATGTTTATACAGAAAACATCGACATTGATGTCTCATCCCTACTGCCGAGCGGCCTGGGGGAATCCGCCCACTTCGTCATCGGTTCTCCCGGATGTTTACGTTGCCGCAATTGCCGATGTTGGCAGCCGTTATTTGATGTAGAGAATGCGTGTTGCTCGTTAACATTTTACTCCAACACGTCACAAGTTTGGTTTTTAATAATTACATATGATTGTAATGAAACCGAAAGGGTTTTCGATTCTAGTGTGCTTTTATATGTGTACTTTAGCATTCTCTAACACTTTTTTATATACGTAGAATAGATAAACTTCTATTTTGCTGCAGGAATTCGTTGCAATCCGACATTGTCGTAAATGTACGAAATGTTTTCGGAATACCTGTTACCGAAAAAGTGGAGTTTTTGTTTTTTCTATCCTCCAAGTCGTCTGTCAGTCCGACTACAAAATACACTAACGCCTAAACTGTAGGCAGTATGATCGCCAAAAATGTATATTCCTCGATCGATCTGGTTGACGTCGCAGCCCTATGAATGTGAAACGAATCTAGTGCTTTTTCGCAGGAAATTTTCGCATGAGTTCGGCTATTACCTTACCATTATAAATAATACAATAACGTAAGTGATGTTTATTGTAGCTCCACTATTCTTACGTTTTGATAATATATCTGAGATGTGTTCGTAGGTTTCCGCGGCCGGAGTCATTGGATACTCGGCTGTCCGGGATGAGCCTCGTCTCAGTCGATCGAGCTGACGTTTCGGCCATCGTGTTGTGGCCTTCTTCAGAGCTATACTGCAGCAGTCAACAGTTTAGCTCTGAAGACGGCCACAACACGATGGCTGAAACGTCAGCTCGATCGACTGAGACGCGGCTCACCCCGGACAGCCAAGTATCCAATTAATGAGATATAGAGATATTAGTTGTACTCGGGTGGGGGTTGTAAGTACCCTACCGGCTGCGTATAAGCGACAGTTCTGTGCGTTGTCTTCACGGCCTTGCTACGCACACGGCACTACCTACATCACAGATAAATTAAATCTCGAAACAGTAACTCTTACTGACAGGCTATGATATGTCATAGTATATCCAGAACTTTTCATCAAAGCCGCAGCTTATCGCCTCCGCGGCTTCGCGCGAGTCAGACGAGCGGCAACGCTGAACTTTGGTTATGAGAAAGTAAACAAATCCTCGCAAGCATATTGCTCCAGAGCAGGTAACATGACGTACCACAACACGTGGCGAGAGAACTGAAGAGTTTGTTACACGTTGCCGGTACTGCAGTTAGTGTCTAAGCGAACGGCGTTTTCTTGTCTTTCATTTTTCATTTACGCTGAGTGTAAAGTTTATTTTTGTTTGTTGACCAACTTATTTTATCGTATTCAACTGAATGGCTTTCGTTACTATAAAACATTAATTCAAAATATATTTGTGAATGTATGCCTAAGACGGGTGGGGGAGCTCAGGGGACTTCTGCTCCCCTCTCTCTGTATACACCACTCAAGAGCAATGGAATTATGATATTTCCCGGCCTAGATTGTTATTATGGAAATATGTTTGGAAGTAGGATTGGTCATGGATGTTTTCTTGTAATGGCGCCTCCCAACGATCGGTATCTTTCCTTGAGCCCTCAGAGTGGTTTTCAGAGTGGTTTCCTGAGGCTTCTGACTTCGTACGATTTCACAAAAATATCTGTAAAAACGCATCGGGACTCGCTGCAGGTAAACGGAATTTGCTATAATTCAAAATATGTAGAACTAGAACAGAAAAATTGAAATGTTTATTTTATTGAGTTGTAAAATGTCCTAGTTGGACCCTTGTGAACATTCCCCATTCAATAAATCATTGTTTTAACAGTGAAAATACTTAATGGAACTCTACCTCCAATGGCCAGGTTGTGAACTGTGGACTAGTCCGGTATCCGCTTCTGTGTGTAGGAAAACATTCTAACATTGCTAATTTTTGTATAAACAAAAGCCAGGCCCGTGAATTTACGCAGAATATCACATTTTTCCTTGATGTCGAGTTTCAGACCTCTCACGCTGCGGAGTGGGAGTAGTATTCGCTAGAGCTAAACCTCCAAAAATGTAATGGAAACAAAAAAATGTATTTCTTTTACTAAGAAACATAGTTCGTTCTATTCTACAGGACTAAAACGGATTTGAAGGTCCCCACCGTTTCGAGTGTGGTAAGCTGTTCGAGAACTGTGGTAACATGTGTTGTAGGCTGTATGTGCGCCTGGTGAGAAATATTTATTTTATTAAGGAAGTACCTGTTATAAATAAGCGAGTT